CCGTCTCCTCCAGCCTCGTCCTCCTCTTGCACTCGCCTCCTCCTGCCTTTCCTGCCTGCCCTGCACGCTAGTGCGTCAAGGCTTCAGGCGCAGAAGGAGGACATCCTGATCCGCATGACGAAGTCATCGCGCACCAGCAGGCTACCATCATGCCATCTCGTCAGGGGAGGAGGGGAAGGACTGGGAGGAAGGAAGACTGAGGAATGAGGAAGGAGGATGACGGGTGCGACGTGAAGTAAAAACGGGAGGACTTGGAACAGAAGGAGGATGAGGAGAAGGAAGGGATGCACACTTGTTCGTAGGAACTATGCCTGCAGGGAAGGTGCATGAGGAGGAGGAGGGTTGGTAGGAGTCAGAAACATGTTCGAAGGACATTGCGAGAAGGACGAAAGGGAAGAGGAGGAGGAAGAGGAAGAGGAGGAAGAGAAGGTGGAGGGAGGGATGATGAGTCCCCGTGCCGCATGGTCCCTGGCATCCATGGTATGAATAAAATACAGGTGAACCTGGAGGAACTCCTGCAGAGGCTGGTTGAAGCGTCACGCCAATAGAAGTTTCAGTGTTTGTGTTCATCTAAGACAGCTCGTGTCGACCGTCCAGCATTGCGGTATCTACGGGGACATGTTATATCACGCTAGAGAAAACTCAAACCAGTGGATGGTTTGGACATTAGTGATATGGATATTGAGATCGATTGTGAGATCGATCGTGAGATCGACAATGGGACCGATAGTGAGGACGATCGTAAGGGCGATCGTGAGAGCGTTAGTGAAGTCGATTCAGTGCGATCGATAGTGAGATCGATCGTGAGATCGCTCGTGCGATCTATACGGTGGGGGCGTTCGTTAAGGAACGTGTTCAGGAAGCTTCAGACCCTGGAGGGTTCCTTATCTGATGAGGGCGGCGGTGATATCCATGGCCAGTCCACGCTTGGTTTTCCACTGGCTTCCAGACCCTGGATTCCTTATCGAAGGTTTCCTCATCCAATTCCATCACCGTTCCGTAGCCATTTTGGCTCAAGGCAATGAACCGTCCCGACGACCGCGAGTCTTTCGGGGCGAATTCTGAGCGCGAGGGAGGTTCCGCTTTGATGAGGCCACCTTCCTTTCCAACTTGCGAGTGCTGCCACCGCAGCACCCTCCAGGACCTGAGGGTCACGCCTTCTTCCGAGTCGGTGGGTCCGCCCCCGTCGACTCCTGCCTGCCGCACGCCCGCGGCTGAGCAGCACGCCCGCCCGCTCCAGCGATGGGGCCCAAGGCCGAGCCTGGCTTCGTCGTGTGCACGGGCTGCCGCTACCGCTGGAACTTCCGTAAGAACGCGGAGTGCTGGCAGTGTGGGATTGGGCTGGAGCTGGCGCCCTCGAAGCCTTCGCCCCGCGTCGGGGTCTGGGCGGATGGCGGCGGCGGCGGCTCCCCGCCCGCGCATCGTGGAGGCGGCGGCGGAGGCTCACCGAGGGATGGCGCCAAGGGCGGCAAGGGCGGCAAAGGCCGAGGTGCAGCCTCCCGTGGCGGCGGAGGCGGTGCAGCCTCCCGTGGCGGCGGCGTCGGAGGCGCGGGCGGCCGTGGTGGAGGCGCCTTCCCGAAGGCCCCTTGGTCGGCCCTGCCCGAGTGCGAGCTCGACGCGCTCCTCGCCTGCGGGGGCCCCGCCATCGCGGCCAGGCTGCAGGAGGCGGTCCGCGACGCGCGGTGCTTCGTCGCGCCCGCGGTCGCCCCAGCGCCAAAGCCACTCGAGCAGCGGCTGCAGTCTGCCACGGCGAAGCGGATCAACCTCCAGCGCCTGCTCGACGAGGCGGCGGATGCGCTCGTGGCGGCGGAGGACCACCTCGCCCAGCGCCGCGGCTGGCGCGACGAGGCTGCGGTCAACCTCACGGAGGCCAAGGAGGAGGAGAACGCCCTCTTGCGCCAGCGGGCCCAGGCGGCTGGCGTTGTGGGCGCACAGCCCGACGGAGCGAAGCAGCTCACCTTCAACTTCGACGCGGAGTCGTTCGACATCTTCGCGGAGCTGGAGGAGGAGGCGCAGGCCACCCTCAGGCGCCTCTGCGAGGAAGGGCCCCAGATCATGCAGGGCGCGCAGGCTACGTTCGAGCGCAACTGCCAGGAGCACCAGCAGCGCATCAAGCGCCAGATCGAGGAGGAGGTGGCCAAGAAGCGCAAGCGCTCCGAGGAGGGGCCTGCAGCAGCCGAGGCCGCTGGCACCCCCGAGCAGGGCGCTGCCGCCCCGCCTCAACCTTCAGGACAGGCGGCCGCCCCTGCTGCCGCCGCCGCCCCAGCCGCAGGCGCTGCGCCAGGAGCGGGACCCCCCCCCAGCGGCCGCTGAGGAGAGCCGAGCGGCAGACGAGGCGGCCCGCCAGCGCGCAGCCGACCAGGAGGCCGCTGCGGCGGCCCCTCCACCTGCTGCTGGCGCTGCTGCTGGCAGTGGCCAGACCTGCGGGCAGCGCCCTGCTGCCAGGAGGCGGCCCCGACGGTGCGGCGCCGCCCGCCCCAGTCGGGGCTGAGGAGGCAGAGGCGGCGGAGCCCAGCCGCCCCGAGGCGGCGGCGCCATCGAGAGGCGGCCTGCACGCCTACCTGGCGGCCAACGAGCAGGCCGACGCCTGGGAACGGCTCCCCTTCAGAGTGCCGCTGCTGCGCCAGGACCGGCGCTTTGATGACGCGCGCCACGACACCAAGTTCGAGGCACTTAGCAGCAGTCCAGAGCCAAGCGCTGCGGCGGACTTGGCTGGGCCCGACCGAAGGACTGGCAGTCCTCAGCCCAGCCAGGGGCCCATAAGGAATAGTGGGTACCCATTTCAAGTTGACCAGGCTACGGGCGAGGGCGTGAGACCCCCCGAGGTTCGGAGACCCAAGGCGGCGAGCAGCCGCCCGCCTGGCGGCCGCTCGGCCGCCGCGGCAGTCGTGAAGCCTGCGGCACAGCCTCAGCCTGGTCGACCGCAGGTCAAGCCCCTCCAGCTGGCCAAGCTGATCAGGCCAGTGGGAGCGAAGCGAGCCAGCTTCGTCACACTGAACGGCTCGACCTGGACAGAGACGCAGGTGGAGCTGGAGCGGATCCAGGACGAAGGAGGAGGCGACGACGTCATCCTGGTGCAGGAGACACGCTTCACCTCCAGCCAGAAGGCGACTGACGCCTGCAGCTGGGCCAGGCGCAACTGTTTCAGCGCTGCCTTCGGCAGCGTCCACAGCACGGGGCAGGCGGCCCAGGCGGTCTCGGCGGGCGTCGGGGTGCTGACGTCAAAGTCTAGGGGCGTGGCGGCTATCGACCACGACTGGCATCCAGCACAGTGCCCGCATCCTGGCCCGACGGGTGGCCTTCGGCGATCTCGCGGTTACGGTGGTCAGCGCCTACCTCGAGCACACGACCAGGATGGCTGGCTACAACCTGGAGCTGCTGTCGGACCTCCAGGAGTTCCTGTTCAGCCTCCACGAGCCGTTCATAGTGGGGGCCGACTGGAATCTGGACCCCAGCGTGCTCGCCGCCTCTTGGTGGCCACGGGCTGTGGGCGGGGTGGTAGTCGCGCCCACGACCTTCACCTGCGGCGACCAGATCTACGACTTCTTCGTGATCTCCACGGCGCTCGCCGGCCTCAGCCCGAAGGTGGAGGTCATCAAGCCCACTACACTGAACCCGCACGCACCAGTGCGGCTCACGTTCAGCGAGCTGGGCAGCAACGCCATGGTCTGGGTCCTCAAGACCCCCAGGGTTTTCGAGGTGGGCTCGGAGGTCTCGGCCGAGCAGCGTGAGATATCCCTGCAGGCGGCGACCCAGATCAGCTGGACAGCCCCCATCACCGACAGAGACGGCACGCCCGATGCGGCGATCAAGGAGTTTTTCGAGGCCGCGGAGCTCCACCTGATCGACCAGTTCGGCATCTACGAGGGAGAGAGGTACCAGGGCAGGGCCAAAGGTCCCCGCACCGTCAAGAAGAAGCTGGCGGACCTGCAGCGCACGGAGGCTGTCAGAAAGCTCAGCCCCATCACCAAGTGCTGGCTCTGCCTCGGGAGGATCGCCAGGCAGCTCAGGGCGGCTGCTGCGGTCTGCTCACCCCCTGTGGGGCACGTCGGCTACATCAAGCACCTGGTGCAAGTGGCAAAGAGCTTGGGGCCCAAGTTCGAGCAGGCGGGTTGCACCATGTTCGAAGGCTCGAAGCTTGACTCGCTGATAGACGTGATCCAGGAGCCCACCGAGCAAGGGCAGGCCTTCCTGCAGATGATCGAGAGCACGACGGAGAGGCACTGCAAAGAAGACGCCAAGGCAGCCAGGCTGCGCTGGAAGGACTTCGTGGACGAGGCCTTGGCGAAGGGGGCAAAGGGCGCCCACGCAGTCATAAAGGACCGTGACCAGGTGCTGGACTCGGTGACCGCGCACTGCCCCGACAGCCTGCCGCTCCCAGTTGTTGGCCAGCAAGCCCTGGACCAGATCCTCACTGAGTGGAAGGCCCTTTGGAAAGGTGCCGACGGGGAGTGCAGGTCCAGACCTGCCGACTGGATCTGCTCCATGGAGCTGCCCCCTATCACGGCGGACGACATCCTCGAGGCGGCGAAATCGTTCCCGAAGCAGACCGCTCTGGGCTGGGATGCGTTCCACCCGCGGCTGGTCCTCTCCCTGGGCAGGCCCTTCGCCGAGAGGATGGCAGAGGTGCTCACGGCTTGGGAGCAGCAGCCGCAGCCCACAGCCTTCTTCACCACGGTGATCGTCTTCCTGGGGAAGCCCGACGGAGGCCGCCGCCCGATCGGCATCATGAGCATGTGGACGCGTATCTGGAGCAGGGTGCGCCGCCGCTACTGCGCCAAGTGGGAGGCGGACCACCCGCTCCCCGAGGTCTGGGGCAAGGACGCGAACACCTGCTGTGACAGGGCGGCCTACCTCCACAACCTGGGGCTCGCGCTCGCCCGCCAGCTTGGCTTCGAGGCAGCCTCCGTCTACTCCGACATCTGCAAGTTCCACGAGCGGATCGACCATGACCTTCTGCGCCAGGCCGCGGAGGGCAACGGCTTCAGCGTCGGTCTGCTCAGGGCCCTCTGCGTACTCTACGCTGGGCCGCGCCGCGCCTCGGCGGACGCCGCCATCAGCGAGCCCATTGAGGTCAGCGGCACCATCATCGCGGGCTGCTCCTGCGCGACGACGCTGGCCAGGCTCATGCTGCACGGCC